CAATATTGATCCTTTGTTGTCTATGTAACAAATGTCTTCTACCAATCTGTGTGTTGGGTTTTGATTTATTTATAGTGTATAGTTGAACAGGAGTTTTTGCTTTCTAATGTAGATCAGTTAATGTTTTCTTTCATGGTTTGTGCTCTTTTATGTTTTTAAGAAATCTTTTTTTTTTTTTTTTAAGAGAGAGAGGAGAAAGGGCAGAGGGAGAGAGGGAGAGATTCTTAATCAGGCTCCATGCCCAGTGTGGCGCCCAATGCTGGGCTTGATCTCACGACCCTGAGATCACGACCTGAGCCAAAATCAAGAGTCAGACACTTAACCGACTGAGCCACCCAGCCACCCACCCACTCATTTCTTAAGAGTTAAGAAATCTTTTCTTAACTCTTAAGTCATAAGGTTTACCTTTATATTGTCTTCTGAAAATTTCAACATTTTGCCTTATGCAGTTAGTTCTTTAAACATCTGTAATTCACATTTGTATATGATATGATAATGGAATTTCATTTTTGTTTAAGGATAGTCCATTGTTCAAATATCATTTTTTTCTTTACCATTTTTTGTGACTGAAGTATAGTTGACACACAATGTTACATAAATGTCAAGGGTACAATATAGTGATTTGACAAGTCTCTGCATTATGCTCTGCTCACCACAGGTGTAGCTACCACCTATCACCATACAGTGCCTCCAATACTATTTTTTTAAATTGTCCATTCTCTCTCACATGCTAAGTTTCAGTGTGCATATGTATTTTTTAGATGAAAAGCTGTTTCATTATTTATTTATTTTTCCTAATCAGTATTACCATATTTTCTTTATATTATCCTCATATCTGATAGGGCAGCTTTCTCCCCCCCAACACCTTAAAAAGTTGCTTTCCTACTTTTTCAAATTGCTTGATTCCTATACCTTTACTGTGAAGTTTAGAATTGGTGTGTTGAGTTCCTTGAATGCTCTTAATGGAGTTTGGTTTAAATTTCATTGGATTTAGAGTTTAAATTGATAGAAATGGTCTTCTTTAAAATATTAAATATCCTAATCTATGAATAAGATATCACACAGGAGTAAGGACAGAAAACAAGAACTCTTCCAAGGTGTTTTAAGCAGAAAGGAATTTGATGCAGGGGCTTAATTGCTGGCTAGGTTCCTAGAATAAGTATGTATTTGTTTTGTTTGTTTAGTTTTCAAATATATGGGGGCAGGGATTAGCTATTTTTTTCTTTTTTCTTTCTTTTGCTTTTGCATTGTCATCAAAGAATGATACATATTCTTTAGTGTTTGTTGAAAATATCCTCTGTGGCTTACAGGATCATCAATTTTAATGAATGTTTAATAAGAGTTTGTGAGGTTTGATGCAGGGCTCAATCTCACCACCCTGAGATCATAACCTGAGCTGAAATCAAGAGTCAGATGCTTAACTGACTGAGCCACACAGGCACCCTGTAACTTTTAAAGAAACCGTCAATTTTGCAAAGTGCTTTTATCATTTCCATTCCGCCAGCGGTGTATGAAAGTTCTATTTCTTCCATATTCTTGCCAATATTTGCTTTGATCAGTCTTGTTAGTTTTAGCCATTCCAGTAGGTGCATAGTGGTATCTCATTGGGATTTTATTTTATTTTATTTATTTAAAGTTTTTATTTAAGTAATCTCTATACCCAATGTGGGGATCGAACTCACAACCTGGAGATCAAGAATCGCATGCACCTCTGACTGAGCCAGCCAGGTGCCTCCATGTTTTCCATTTCTTTCTATCTCCCTGTTGCTTTCTAGAGAATTGCCTCATAGTCACCTTCTTATCCCTTTATTTCTCTGGAACAATTTTACCTCTCTTTTAAAGTTTTAATTTTAGTGACTATTGTATTTTCATTTGCAGAAGGTTCTTTTTTCAATTCATTTCTTTTTCTTAGTGTTCCGTTTCTAGACCTTCATTGCTTTAGTTGTCAGAAATGCATATTGAAAATTACTCATATTGGCCTGTTGTTATCTGTAGTTCTTTGGTTCTGATAGTCCTGTTTGCACATCTGCTAACTCTCTCACGTGGAGAGTTGTTTCCTCAGATCTTCATAACTCACTTAGTGTATATGCATCTTCCGTGGGTGTTGTTTTCTCCTGGGTAATTCCATGTATCTCAATTGTGAAAGTGTCCCTGGCTCTAATTCCCACAGGATCCATTTCAATGGCCCTGAATCAGATTTGGTGTTAATTTATCTCTTTGTGGCTCCCATACAGTACAGGTAACATGAATTTAGGTCCCATCTCTGGCATACATTTGGGGTTCAGTTTCTCCCACTTGTCTTTTTATTTCTTTCTGCTTAAGGCTTCAGGAAAACATGAGCTTCCTTGAGGGCTCCATGGTGTATGGGCTGGGGACTTTCTGGTTTCCTGGGAATGGAAGGGGCAGATCTTGAGGGATCCAAGCTTTATTTTTTATTTTCTTTAGAGGGAGCAAGGGAGGAGAGGAGAGGCAGAGGGAGAGAGAAAATCTCAAGCAGACTCCACACCCGGAGCATGTTGGAGCCCAACTCAGGGCCTGATCTCAGGACTCCGAGATCATGAACTGAGCAGAAACCAGGAGTCGGATGCTTAACCTACTGAGCCACCCAGGTGCCCCAAGGGATCCAGGGTTTATGAATAAGTCCCCCATCCAACCTCCCACCACTTACCGCCCACTGGCATGTCTTCAGTCCCTATGTGAGTATTAGAACCCCAGCCCCAGCCCCTAGAGCTTCTGTCTGTTTGGAACTTAGGAAACTCCAAATTCCTCTCTTCCCCACCTGTGTTCTGAATCCATTTAGATAGATGGGGAAGTCTGACAATGGAAATGAGCATTTCACCTTTACTACAATGAAGCAGTTTATAGAATAGAGGCAACAAAGGAATTACAACACTGCCTATAACCAAACTTGGCCTCCAGGCACAGACACCATGGGAAAGTCTCAATTCTAGTAGTATAGCCTGCACTCTTGAGTTTACTGTATAACCTAGGGCAGATGAAAATGCACATTTTCTATAAGTGGAGAGGTACCAGAAAGGAGCAGCCAGAAGGGCTTGATCCAGACATGCCTAGCAGTTCCTTTTTTTAAACTCATAAATCACCCCTCTTCTCATGAGAAGGAAGGAGCCAATGAGTGAGGCCAAGAGTATTACTCTAAAGGAAGGAGGTTCCTCCACTGAGAAACAAGGTGGGGGTGTGTGGGGTGGGGGGGGTAGTCAATCCCTTCTAAAGATATCCAATGTGCATGTGTCCCTGGCTTTCATTCTCTCTTTCCTTTCTGAAATCTGGTGTATACTCTTTATTTTCAGCTAAACTGTATATTTAAGACTATTTTTGGTATATTTTGCCCAGAATTTCCAAGTTTAGGGCCAGGAGCTTCAGCTGTCATGTTGTTGGAAGTTCCTCTAGAGAGTGTTTTCACAAAGGAAACAGGATGGCCTATTAAAACAGGCAAGTGCTAAAGGAGAACAGGCTGATCTAGACCTCTCTCCAAGTGTTTTCTAGACCTCAGAGGTTGCACCAAATAAAAGCTATTTGCTAATATGATTCTTTCCTTTATTAACTATAATAAAGCAAACATGGTATAGATCTCAACATACCCATATATATGTGTATTGACTTGCCAAGTCTAGTAGGTAAACACACTTTTAAACATGTATGATGCATGCAATTTGAATTTCTGCCTTATATGTCATATCTTGCACAGTGTCATTTACACTCTCATGTTGTTTTCATTAATGTATTGTTATACAGTGATAAAGGTGCAGCTTCATCAAAGCATACCTTTATAATGGGATTCCTTGAAGATATTTGAAAATAGTTCATAGCCCATGGGTTTTGATGAAATTGCTTTATTCAAGCAATTGCATTTTAGTTTTACTACAGTTTATATAAAGAAGAGAGAACTTAAAAGGCATTATAAAAACAGTAGGAAAGTATGTCTCTAATCTCTTGTGCGTTTAGTCTAGGAAAATACCACATCCCTCCTCTCATCCTCATAAAACAAGACAGAACCAGCACTGAATTGAATAAAAGAGTAACTTATCTATGCTGCCACATCTGATCTTATTTCTCTTCTTGGAAATTGGCATGAACATAGTTTGTCCTCAGGTTCAAGTCTTTAAGTTTAGAAGGAGAAACATTTCCATACAGTAATGTAAAATAAGTGGAAAATTTTATTGAACATTTAGTTACTTTGATAGGCATTGCCCAAACATGTGCAAACATGTGTTTATTTTATGTAGTCACCTCCTCAATTCTCACTGGTTGCACAGTTCTTACCCCATTTTACAGATTAGGAAGCATGAGTTTTCAGAATTTATTGGCGCCCATGTTATATTGTTTAAACTACCTCCTTTATCCAAAGCCAAATACAGTGTGCTGGTAGGACATACAGTAATACCCAAAGGACCTGAGGGAACAAAAGACCTTTGAGCATTCAGTTTTAGCATCTGACCCTTGAATAGCATTCATGCTAGCATCTAGCATGCTTGAGATTTTCAAGCATATCTGCTCTGTCCATCTCACCTCCAGAGTGTACCCAGCGCCTCAGGGACTTTCTTTCCCTGCCTTCTTCAGAGAAGGTAAAGGAGGACAGACACCCAAGCAAGTTTGGAGGGTATGCGGGTAGGGAGGAGTATGAGATGGGCCCCCGAGAGGTTTCTGAGGTGACATTAGTTTCTTCCATTTCCCTTCCGTCTAGAAGCCTCTTCACTTAAAGCCCAGCCCCTCCATCTTACCCCAGATCAAGTCCAGTTTTTTTCTGATTTTACTTCCGTTCCCTCCCCGGCTGCTCCTGATCAGCCCCGCCCACCTCCCTGAGCCCGCCCCTCCGTGACCACGCCTCCCTCTAGGCTCCTTCGCCAAAAGTCCCAACAGCTCCCCGTCACGCCTTTGTTCCCTGCCAATCACGCTGGACCACCCTCTCGGCCCGCCCCCGAACACACACCCAGCTGGTCGGAGGCCTCCCCTGCAGGCAGAGGACCGGGGGCTGTGGAAAGATGGAGCATGCGTGTGGCGGCTTCTCCGGGGAGGAGTTTCAGAAGGCCTGTGAGGAGCTCCAGCAGTTCGGGCGGGTAGGGAACGACTGGCAACTGCTGATGGAGCACGAAGGCTTCAAAATCTACAGGCGGCTGGACGAGGTAGCTTCCGGCCCTCTGGAGGACGCTGGGCTGTCGCTCGCCGGGGCCAAGCTTCCCGGGGCGGGGGGGGGGGTAGTGCGGGGCTGTAGCCTTGGAAGTCAGGGCCTGAGCTAGTCACGCAGAGCTGGGAGGAGCGAGCACGAGGGCAGTGCCTGCAGCCGACTTTGCCCCCTGGTTGGGAGGTCATCCATTTCAACCGCGGTTCTGAGGGCCAAGGTGGGAGTGGACTGTTGGAAGTTAAGGATAGAGTTAAAATGTGGTCGGCTGAGTCTTGGCCCCCTGTACTTGCGTGCAAGGGACGTGGATCCCCCTCCCGGGTGGGTGCCGCTGGTGTGTGCGTGTGTGTGTGTGTGTGTGTGTGTGTTGGTGGGTAGGGCGAACCTTAGGGTTTGCGTACAGGTGGAGAGGAGACTGGGCTTTTCGGAGACTAGGTGGGTGTGCAGGGTGATAGTGTGAGTGCGGAGCAGCGTGCCTGAGAAGAGCTACTATCATCTCATTTTAGTGGCTTGTTTCTTTTCGCAGCCGCCCCTTCTTTGCAAGGTGCACTTAATAATTTAGTCTGAAGCTTTAGGGAGAAAGATGAACTTAAAGGGTTGAAGGAAGAGTTGGTTATTAAGCAAGGCGCTCCCGGAGGCCTTTGAAACCAGGGAGCTAGCTATCCAGGGGGAAAGATTGCCTTGCCCCTGAGATCTGTCATCAGTTACACTGTGTGGTAGCAACTGCATGGCACACGGGTTAAAAAGTCACCCTTAGGCAGGGTAAGTGAAATCAGGGTTTCCTGGCAGAGGAGTAGGGGGGCATTCTGAACGTGTGTGCTGCAGAGCCACTGGGTGTGACAAGATGAAAGTTCACAGCCTAAAGCAGGCAGAATTCATTTCTGAGTGTAATTTCAGTTGTTGCCTTGGTGCAAAAGTGGACATCTTTTCAGACAAAATCCTTTATTCTTCTGACTATTCCATTTTTCTTACCAGCCACATCCAGGCATTTCCCAGGTTTTGTCAATGCGACTGCTCAGACATGGCTGATGTCTGGCCCCCTTCCCTTCCCTTTTCTTTCCTTTGTGGCTGCCACTTTGGATGGTACCTCTCACCTAGAATTGCAGTGACCTCTTTAACTAGTTTCCTGGCCTTCCAACTCTCTGATCCCTTCCCTCCTACACGTTACAGTCTGCTCAAGCCCCTGAAGGAGAGGCTGTGGTCTTACCACTCCCAGTGGCACTGTTGGTTGCAGAATTAATGCTAAGAGTAACTAGTGTCATAGCTCACCCGTGGCATGTTTTCTTATGTTCCAGTCACTGCTTAAGTGCTTTACAGGTCTTGACTTAATCGTCACGTCAGTCTTTTTATTTTTAATTTTTATTTTATTTAAATTCAAAGTAGTTAACATATGGTGTATTATTGGTTTCATGAGTGGAATTTAGGGATTCATCACTCACATTCAACACTCAGTGCTCATCCCAACAAGTGCCGTCCTTAATACCATCACCCATGTAGCCCATCCCCCTACCCGCCTCCCCTCCAGCAACCCTCAGTTTGTTTTCTTAACTACAGACTTTCTTACGGTTTGCCACCCTCTCTGTTTTTATCTTATTTTTCCTTGCCTTTCCCTTTGTTCATCTGTTTCGTTTCTTAAATTCTTATGAGTGAAATCATGATATTTGTCTTCAGCTTATTTCGCTTAGCATAATACACTCTGGTTCAATCCATGTTGTTGCAAATGGCAAGATTTCATTCTTTTTGATGGCTGAGTAATAGTCCATTGTGTATATTTACCACATCTTCTTTATCCATTCATCAGTCGATGGACATTTCGGCTCTTTCCATATTTTGGCTATTGTGGATAATGCTGCCATAAACATTGGGGTACATGTGCCCCTTCCCATCAGCACTTTGTATCCTCTGGATAAATACCTAGTAGCCTCATGTCAGTCTTAATGTAAGATACGGTAATTATCACCTTTTTACCTCTACGAAAATGAGTATGTGGAGAGGTTGATTGCTGAGGGTTTGAATTAGGACCAGAGCTCAGCTGTCCACTTCCAGACCTGTGCCGTAAATAGGCTCCTTCCTGTGTTCCCTCTCTGAGAGAAGGCAAATGCTTCCAGGTAGGCTCTACAGGTCTTTCTCACCTTATGATGGGTTTACATCCTGATAAACCCATCATAAGTTGAAAATATCATAGGTCAAAAATGCATTTAATACACCTCACCTACTGAACATCATAGCTTAGCCTAGCTGATCTTCACCGTGCTCAGAATGCTTTCATTAGCCTACAGTTGGGCAAAATCATCTAACACAAAGCCTATTTCATACTAAAGTGTTGAATGTCATGTAGTTTATTGAATAGTGTACTGAAAGTGAGAAACAGAATGATCGTATGGGTGCAGAACAGTTGTATCAGTTGTTGACCCTGTGGCTCACTGTCCCTGCCCAGCAATAGGAGAAGGTACCATATCACACTTCACTAGCCATGGGAAAGATCGAGATGCCAAATTCAAAGTACGGTTTCTACTGAATGCATATTGCTTTTGTGCTTCTGTAAAGTGGAAAAATTATAAGTTGTACTGTCAGAAATTGTTGACTTTCTGTACTAAACTAGTTTGGTCCCAACTTACATTTCCAGCTTTATGTCCCTGACTCATCTGCACGCCCCCCTGTCCTCTAGCCAACCCAGACCACTCTACCTTTTACCCCTCCAATGGACCTGTGCTCTTTTGCTTTTGTGTCTGTGAGCTGAGACAGCGACTGGCTTTGTACTGTGTATTGTTTTTATTGTGTATTGTTATGTAGTAGGCCCACTTCTCTCTGGTCGGGAGGACAAGAGTGGTCTTCAGAATAGTTCCCACCCCTATTAACCATACTGTATGTCTTATTTCAACCTGTTCTAGGGATGAAGGCATTCATGGTACACAGATGTAAATTACAGGTACTCCCAGATAACTTCTCTAAGTTTAAAGGGCCATGGGATTCCAGTAGGTGTGCCCTTGAGCCTTAGCAGCTAGGATGAAGGGCCATCCAGGGCCACTTTGATTTCCATCTGTATTAAAATGTCAAGAGGCCCTATTGGGTCAGGGTATGAGCCCTTTCCTAGAATTCTTACTGGGTTCTAGCTTTTTCCAGCATTATTTGCTGCCTGGCCCACTTTGCTAAAGCCTCATTTTCTTTCCAGGTTGACTCGAGTCCCATGTTTTACCTTCCTCCCAGAAGGGAATTCCCTCTAATTTCTAGTTAGGAAACCTTTTCATCTGAATACCACACCTTATCAAATGTGAAATCAACTTGTCCCACACTCTGTGTAGACCTGCACCTATCTGCCGCAAAGCCCTTTATCTGTCTTATGGTCCAGTGGTGTTTAATCCACTCTGCCTGTTACCATTAATGTGTCTTTTCTTCCACCCACCCAAACTAGTTTACCCACCCGAGTGCATATGGCCTTGGGTCCTCAGGTCCCCAACTGGGGGTCACACCAGAAGACTGGGGCCCCTCTGTCATCAATCTTCATCTTGATTAATCTACCTGACCATTTGTGCAGGTGAGTCCAGGTGAGGTTTCTTACTGACATCTTTGCTTTCTGGCTTTTTAAATTCCAACAACTGGGGTAAACAGAGTGGACTTATCTGGGACCCTTTAATGTTGAAGGGCCACCAGGGGGTCCCTAATTTTCGAAGGTGCTGCATTAAGGCTTTTGCCTCACCCCCATCAATATCTTTCTGCTTCATTCATCCTATTTCTTAATAGCCATCTAAAGATTTCAACTCTATTGAGATGAGTGCCTTGATCCCCCCTTCTGTCTTTCCCCATTTTCTTGTTAATTACTCTAATTTTTCTTGGCATCTGTAAGACCCATAAAGGGAAAGTGAGACTGGTAATCTGGTAAATCTTCTTGGATTACGTGAGTTTTGCAGCAGTAAGTTTACATGTAGTGCCCATGCGAAAGGGACCCTCTCTATCAAAGTATTTACCATGACTTGTGGAAGAAGCATATTCTTTTTTTTTTTTTTTAAGATTTTTATTTATTTATTTGACAGAGAGAGAGAGAGCACAACCAGGGGGAGCAGCAGAGGGAGAGGGAGAAGCAGGCTCCCTGCTGAGTAGTCAGATGTCGGGCTCCATCTCAGGACCCTGGGATCATGATCTGAGCCGAAGGCAGACACTTAATGGACTGAGACACCCAGGTGCCCCGAGGACCATATTCTGTAGATGAATATCCCCATCGTAATAAAGCCAGTCCTACATCTGGATCATGTATAGCCATTTATGTTGGTCCTTGGTGAGCTCTGATTATCATCTATTATTACATGTTTTGAAAAGACTGAAATAAGTATAGAGGCATTTGAGTTTTCCACTGTAACAAATAAATTATATTTTAAAATTTAAAAAGGTTGTAGCTTTTTTTTTTTTTAGTAGACAGATAATTCTGAATCATGTTCTTGGACAGATGGCTACTTCTGATATATAGTATTTTGATACTTTTTCATTTTCTCCTTTTCTATTAAATCACAGAAGTTTTGGACTTTGAAAGTTTCTTTGAAACCATTCTGTCCAACACCCTCATCTTTTCCGTTCATTTCTTTTTTTTTTTTTTAAAGATTTTATTTATTTATTTGACAGAGAGAGACATAGCGAGAGCAGGAACACAAGCAGGGGGAGTGGGAGAGGGAGAAGCAGGCCTCCCGCAGAGCAGGGAGCCCGATGTGGGACTCGATCCCAGGACCCTGGGATCATGACCTGAGCCGAAGGCAGACACTTAATGACTGAGCCACCCAGGCGCCCTTTTCCGTTCATTTCTTTACTCTGTTTGCCTGCTCTGTTTCCATCCTCTCTTTTTTCCTCCTCATGTTGTAATGTTAATAACTTACCTTGATATGGTGATTTAATTTACAAAATGCTGTCACATATAAGTTTCCTTTATCCCTATAAACCAGTCTGGAAGATAGGGACAGGCTTATTTTCCTATTTTACAGATGGAAATAAGACCATGAGTTGTGAAGTGAGCCACAC